TTCCAACATGTAGCAAGACTAGTAGCCCAGTTCTACAGTCTTTCCAACATATAGAAAGACTAGTAGCCAAGTTCTAGTCTTTCCAACATGTAGCAAGACTAGTAGCCCAGTTATACAGTCTTTACAACATGTAGAAAGACTAGTAGACCAGTTCTACAGGCTTTACAACATGTAGCTAGTCTAGTCGCCCAGTTCTACAGGCTTTCCAACATGTAGCTAGACTAGTAGCCCAGTTCTAGTCTTTCCAACATGTAGCAAGACTAGTAGCCCAGTTCTACAGTCTTTCCAACATATAGAAAGACTAGTAGCCAAGTTCTAGTCTTTCCAACATGTAGAAAGACTAGTAGTCCAGTTACAGTTTTTCCAACATGTAGAAAGACTAGTAGCCCAGCTATACTGTCTTTCCAACATGTAGAAAGACTAGTAGCCCTGCTCTGCTATTTTTCCAGCATGTAGAAAGACTAGTAGTCTCGCTCTATAATCTTTCCAACATGTAGAAAGACTAGTAACTCAGCTATATAGTCTTTCCAACGTATAGAAAGACTAGTATCCCAGCTATACAGTCTTTCCAACATGTAGCAAGACTAGTAGCCCAGTTCTACAGTCTTTCCAACATATAGAAAGACTAGTAGCCAAGTTCTAGTCTTTCCAACATGTAGAAAGACTAGTAGTCCAGTTACAGTTTTTCCAACATGTAGAAAGACTAGTAGCCCAGCTATACTGTCTTTCTAACATGTAGAAAGACTAGTAGTCCAGTTACAGTCTTTCCAACATGTAGCTAGACTAATAGCCCAGTTCTAGTCTTTCCAACATGTAGTAAAACTAGTAGCCCAGCTCTACAGTCGTTCTAACATGTAGAAAGATTAGAAGTCTAGCTCTACAGTCTTTCCAACATGTAGTACGACTAGTAGCCCAGCTCTACAGTCGTTCCAACATGTAGAAAGACTAGTAGCCCAGTTAAAGTCTTTCCAACATGTAGAAAGTCTAGTAGCCCAGTTATACAGTCTTTCCAACATGTAGAAAGACTAGTAGCCCAGTTATAGTCTTTCCAACATGTAAAAAGACTATATGCAGCAATTGATGAAAGGCCTCAACAGTTACAATAATCATCTTGTTCTTATATTCATATTTCTGAAACAAAAACTCACACTTTTCTTTTTTGTTTGCTGAAATTAAGGTTTTATCAAGAATTCCACATAAAATTATTTTTCTCGACAACACAAAAGCTTCTTTCACCCAAAGTTCCTACCCTAAGTTCATAACTTTACATGTCTTATATTGAAACTCTTTCTACATTACAGGCAAGTTGTTACAAAAATATAACTTACAACTTGAAAAAACAAACAGAAACACTCACACTTTTATCAATATCTATATTGCTGAATGCCTAGGGAGGATGCCCTAAAATCATACAAAAAAAAAGAAAAATAATCCTAGATCAACTGTACACACGTAATACAAAAATTTATAGTACAACATGCTGTTGCACATAATAAACACTGCATTCCTATCAAAAGGAACAGTAGTTCTTTTGCCAAGTTATGCAAATAAGTTGGTGGACAGCTACAAGTGGCTCTCTAAACAGCACAGATAGTTTTGCTGCTTCTGGGGTATCGACACACCTAAACTACAGTAATCGGGGGGGGGTACCATTCCACTTTTAATATGCAGTATGGAACAATCTTGGATCAAATGTGGAAAATAAATTAAATATTTATCATACAGTAAGAAATATAAATCACTAAAGTCAGTCAGAAAAGTACTTGTCCTTCTTCTTCTATTTCTTTAGGTTTATAAAACGTTTCTAGCCATGATATGGCTTACGGCTAACCACCACGTTATGCTTTAGGTTTGTAAAATGTTTCTAACCATGATATGGCTTACGACTAACCACCACGTTATGCTTTAGGTTTATAAAATGTTTCTAACCATGATATGGCTTACGACTAACCACCACGTTATGCTGTAGGTTTATAAAATGTTTCTAACCATGATATGGCTTATGACTAACCACCACGTTATGCTTTAGGTTTATAAAACATTTCTAAACATGGGCCTAACCAGCTGAATGCTGTGGCTTTGTTTGAAGGAAAGGCAGAAAATCAGTAAAAAAAAGTGAGAAGTAACAGCTACACACGAAATATATTCAAACATTGGCTAGTCTACGGTTTGATAGATAACAGCCAAAACTAATAACACTGAACACACTGTTCATGTAGCACTATATATACTAAGTGTGTGAAGAAAGAAACCATATCAATGACAAAACCATTATCAATGTGAAAAAATTCAAAGTTATGAAATGAGTACAGTCATATATCAGGGAGATAATGAACACACACAAATCAAGTTAGAAGAAACAATTGAGACAATCTGGTAATCTACTACTAATTGTTGTTATAATATTTATACTACAATTAACTGTTATTTTCCAAAACTTTTCCCACAACTGATTTAAGATTAATGGGTCTATAATTACTGGAACAATTTTTATCACCTCCCTTGAAAAGAGGAGTGACATTAGCTAATTTCCAATCCTCTTATACCTGCCTACTATTCAAGTACTTACAATAAATAGTAGTAAGTGGCTCACATATCCAATCTTTAATCTCCTTCAAAACTTTTTTGGAAATATTATCTGGCATAGGATCTTATAATTTTTTAAACTTCCCAATTTTTTCTTAACAGGCTCAAAATTAATGCAGTCATCTTGTCTGACATTGTTGCCATCTATCAACTGTTCAAGATGAGGAATACTGCTTGTCATCATTAGTAAAAACTGAA